AAAAAAACCCCAAACCCCCCAAGATCGGAACAATCAAGAAGCAAACCAAATAAAAAGTAAAGGAGGAAAAAGAAAAATAAACTAAGAAATGTGTTAGAATTTTCTTCCCTTTTGGTTTTGTTATGTTTTATAGACATGGAAGAACTTGAACAATAAGAAAACAAAAGATTTGTCATTTAACAATATAATTTACACAAGTTAATGAAATAATAAGTTCACCACCAATTATAGCTGCAGATAAATTCAACTTTAAAATTCTTCAATTTCAATCCTTGAATCTGAACTCAACAACCTCTGTATCAATTATTCCTAATTACATTTCTTCAACTTCTTCCTCTGTCTTTCTCTGAAAAAGTCTATCCAAAGATTAAAAATCCACAAAATACTAACAAAGATTGCACTTACAATCACAACCATCCAAGAAATCCACATAGGCCTAGAAATCACACCATCTGCTTTTCCACTTGCAAAAGCTAATCCCATCTTGTAAACAAATAAGGGTCCAAGAATCCCCCTAACCAAACTATAAAACATATAAAAAACTGGTGACAATTTTTCATACAATTTATCAGCCATAGGAATATTGTTCTTTCGATATCTAGCAAGACTCCATGTGTTCTGGCAAGGACTTGTGATCTCAGCTAGAAAAAGAAGGCCAATAAGAGTAGCTGCACCATGATGAACGACGAATCGACAAGTTAAAAATACATAAAGGGTAGCCAAATGATGAGCAATGAAAAGCACATCACTTGGATAAAAGATCAAGTAATGTAAAAGGTCAACTAAGAAGTAAGCAATGCTGTATTCAAGTATTATTTCTTGGAATGGTGAGTTTTGGGTGGAAAAATCAAGATTTTGGAATGAAGTTTGGGAATTTTGTAACATTGAGTATATTGATAAGATTGCTGCAGGGGTACCATGAGCTAAAGACATTATACAACTTGATGCATCAGACCTCACTTTTTCTTTCCAATCTTTGAATATTATCAAGTATCCAAACAGATAGATGATAGAAAATACAAGAGTGAATCCAACAAGATTTGGCTCCAAGATTTCCATCAGGATATCAAAGAAAGATTAGATTATATAACAGAAAAGATGAAGGGGATACAGTTTTAGTGATGATATAAGATGCAGCAAACTGCTTTTTAAATAATTAAAATTTTTCTAACTAGATAGAAAGTGGTATTAGAATCTAATAAGCAACACAGATGGATGTTTAAATTATTGGAGTGGAGAAGGCTCTGGGTGTTGAGGAAAAAAGAAAGGGAAAGACTTGATGACTGGCGAGAATCTAATTTTTGCACTTTGTACAAAGGTAACAGTTTTACCAATATCTACTACTAGTCAATTATTGGTAATGTGAATAATAAATTCTTTCCAAGAAAGGAAACATCTCTCTGTCTTCCGTACAACCAATTCCCACACGTTATACTTTGTGCTGAGAGAATATTCCAAAACAAAATACATTACTAGTACTCCCTCCGCTTCACTAATCAATTTGCTTTTAGCACGCCCATTAACAAAATACTAAATTCTATACAAAAATACCTACTATGACTAAACTACCCCTAATTAAACATTTAATGTGAGGAGTAAGAAAACTTTTTAGGTATATGTACATAGGGGTTATTTTGTAAAAACAAACTGAATTCTTTCTTGATTACATAACTGGACACTTATTTTGAACCAAAATAAAAAAGCAAATTGGTCACTTATTGTGAACCGGAGGGAGTATTGTTTCATTTTTACATTTTATAAAAAATTTGCTTTTTTTTTTTTGAGAAACAGGAACAATTTTTTTAATCTAACTACGTAGAGTATGACAAAAGATCCATAGGATCATTACAAACAGCTAAAAGGCCTTGCATGGCATTAAGGTTGCCAAGTTTGGCTAGCTTCCTACAGTTACTTTCACTAACTTATTAGTAGATGAAAGACCCTCCTTGTCCGCCATCATTCTGATAGGAGTTACTACATAGCAAACTAAGCTATCATTATTCGATTGCCTAGCTCCTTCCTGTGCCAACAGGGAAGCTACTTTATTCCCTTGTCAAAAGTTATGCCGTATCACCAGCTCCTTCCCCTTCCTGGATATCAACAACCTGCAAATTGTAAAAGATAGTCATAAGAGGTGTTGCCTTCCTGTAATAGTTCATTACCTGGGTTGAGTCAGTTTCTATTTCGCACGGCCATAGGTTATGTTGAAGAATCAGTTCTAGGCCTTTCTTAGGGTCAGAAATTCCGCATGCATACATGTTAATGCCTGTATTTCATCATGGAATCCCAGAATCCAGTCCCTATTATTGTTTCGTAAGACTCCTTCTATGCCACCGTGTTTTTTTTTTTTTTAGTAAGCTTCATCCACATTAAGCTTAAACCATCCAGCACGTGGTTTATGACAATTAGTGTTACATGTAATCTTCCTTGAAGGACTACTTTCTCTGCATGTCAGGAGAACAAATTATGTAGCTTGTTTGATGATTAAGGGAATAGTAACGTAATTAGATGCATTGTTTTCAATATTTTTATTCCTATTAAGCCAAAGGTTTCAAATAGCAAAAGAGAAAAGTTGAGACCAAGTAATTATTTTAGAGGGTATGGTAGGATTACAAAATCTTAATCTATCAAGCTAGTGGTGGTTATCAGACTTTGGCCAGTTGATACTTAGATTTAGGGAGTGCCAATTTTTTTTGCTACATAACATTGAAGGAAAATATGAGGGATATCCTCAATATCATTACGACAAATAGTACAAACTTTATCAACGTTCATTCCTATATGGTGGAGATAGAATCTACAAGGGAGTCTATTATGGTAACATTTTCATAGAAGGATTTTTAATTTATTGGGATAGTATACTTCCCAAATCCATCTAAAGCTTTTGGTCGGTATCATATTTGTTTCAATTAGATTATAGCATGAAGCTGTAAAGAATAAACCATTGCTATTAGGTTCCAAAATCAGACACTCGTGGCCTCTGTCTATTGGTAGCTTAATAGAGAAAAAAAGTTCAACTATATTGTCCGGCAAAATCATTGAAATATTATTCAAGGTTCAATTGTTGTGGTTAATAAGGTCCTTGATAGTTAATGAAGAGTCTTTTTTCGTTAGGGGACCCTCAATAGCATTCTTAGGCAAGGACTATTAGGGATCCATCTTGTATACTAGATGCCTAGGGAGGAGTTATGACCAATGTACCGCATTGATCCTTTATTGCAGTGATCCCAACCTTTGAGTATACTCTTCCAACAAAAAGATTGGCGCTTTCTAGGAGAAAAGATGTAGGATTAATGAGAACTTTTGCCCATGGGGCTTGGGAAAAATTTAATAGTCTCCATGCTAAGCTTGTAAGGAGAGCTAAATTTTTTGAGTTGGCTTTTCTAAGTCCAAGGCCGCCTTTGTTTTTATAAAGGGTGATTGAGTACCGGCTTAGGAGATGGAGTTTTCTTTTTGTGTCATTTGATCCCCAACTAAAGTCTCTTTGAATCTAATCTATGGTCTTATGAATCTTGTCTGGTAAAAGAGTGTATTGCATTACATAGTTAGGAATGCTAGCAAGAGTGGATGATGAAAGAGTAACTCTACTAGCCATGCTTAAACAATTAATCTTCCAGCCGGCAAGGCGATTATGCATATTATCAAGAATAAAGCGGAAGTCTTTGGTTTTTGGGGAGGAGTCAAGGATAGGGAATCCAAGGTACTTTCCAAATGATTCACTATTTTTCATCCCAAAGAAGTTGGAGGTGGCAGTACTAGTGTCTTGGAGCAATTCTTTGAGAAAATAATTTTAGACTTAGCCATATTAATGCTTTGACCTGATAAATTACAAAACATGTCAAGGTTAATTTTAATAGTAGTACAAGATTTTTGATTAATATGACTCATTACGGTTAGATCGTCCGCAAAAAAATGTGGGAGAGGGCAAGATCATTAGAGCTAATAGCTACATGGTCCCACCTTTTTATGTCCACTTGGAAGTTGATATATCTCGATAACATCTCCATGCAAAGGATAAAAATATAAGAAGACATAGTGTCACCTTGTCTAATTCCTCTACTAGGATAGAAGAAATCACTTCTTGAACCGTTTACAAGGACCGCCATGCTAGATGAACTGATACAAGACAATATTAATATTGAAACGTTGGGAGGAATTTTGAAGTAGTTTAGGGTTCTAAAGATGAAAGATCACTCCGGTTTATCAAACTCTTTTTCAAGATCTATTTTTAGAACCATTTTTTTCTTTTTTACTGGAACTATTTTTAAAATTGTGAATGATTTCTCGAATCAGAATCGCATTGTCACTAGCTCGTCTATTTTTTAGAAATCTAGACTGGAATGAACTGATAATCTTGTCTAAAAAGGGTTTCAATCTATTGGCCTATTGGGTGAAAGTTCTTTAGATTATTAGCATTAAGGAATTTGAGAATGAGGCATAAATAAGTGTTATTAATATTGTGGGGAATTTGATGGAAACTGAAGACCTAATGGCAAAAAGAAATAATACTCGGCCCGACAATTTTTCAGTACTTTTGGTAAAA